TGTGTGTGTGTGTGTGTGTGTGTGTGTGTGTGTGTGTGTGTGTGTGTGTGTGTGTATTTGTTTTGTTTTTTTAAAATCGATTTCCTCATATCTCCACCTTTCCACATCTCTTCAAACAAGAAAGATTGGTTTAAAAAGCCACCCCATCATCAATGGGTGTTAATTCACATTAGCATTAATACATGCAACACTGCTAGCTGAACAGTGGGATTACAGTTGGAAACCAGGAAGTAGGAACGATTCCTACTTCTACATCCTTATTGTCAAACGTGATTGTTATCAGGCTTAGGTAAATGGTGTAATCTCTGCACAATGCCTTGAATGCAAATACTTTGAGGATTTTTGCTGGGGTTTTGCAATAGAAGTACAGTACACTGTATGTAGAGATGCAGGTGAAAGCTGATTTAAAAACAATTGCATATGTTGACAACTCTGCAAATATAGGTTTGACTTTCTATGAAGCTTTATTGAAAAATTTGTATTTTATAAAGCACCCATCAATATTAAGGAATGTCTAGTCAAGGAGCTCTAGTAGTCTACAGTTTAATTAGCCTTTAAACTTGATTAGATTATCTGCCTTCATCCTTTTGCTAATGAAAGTGAAAACCTCATTCTCATAGACATGTTTTGATTTTTCTTTTTCTTTTTTTTTATAAGCTGCTGAATTTTAAAAATAAGTAATACTTTTGGGGCCACCAAATATTTTGGATCATGCAAAGACTCTATATTGTACTGTAGTAATTTTGTAATATTTGTAAGATGATATAGTGGGTGTGACTGGTTACCATTGCTTGAATCTGTACATTGTTCCAATAAATTGTTTACATTATTGTGGGCCTTTATCATTTATTTTCTCCAAGGCTTTTTTTTTTCTTTCTTTGCAATGTCACTGGTAGTTTCAGGCTTTGTGAAATTTGAATTACACAAATAGCAGACTGTCCACTGTGCCGACTGTAAATGGGCCTTTAAATACAATATTTATTTATTTATTTATTTATTCATAAAGCACTTTAAAACAGCCACAGCAGATGCATAGTGGTTGTACACAAAAGTGAGTGAAGTAGAGTGAAAGCAATCATTTACAAAAACAACTATCATACAATAAAAACAAGTAAGATCAATGTCTCACACTGGGTCGAAGGCCAGGCAGTATACCGTGTTTAAGACAAATTTAAAAATTAACAATGTAACTGTCTAACGTGGAAAGACTATTTATTCCAAAACCTAGATTCTTGTTGCCCGACAGATGATTAGGTGCAAAACCTTGAAAAGTGACATACTGCTAAATCTATCAGTTTAAATAAATGTAAAGGCTTATTCATAGACTTGGTGTTGGAAGACCTTTTCTTATGCTTTAAATAAACCACAACCGTAACAAGAGTATTTGCTTTTGCAATATTTGTGGAACGTGTGTTGAATAAACAATCCCACTGGAAAAGGACGTTTAAACGGGTATGAATAATCTTTACCCACTAGTGCACAACAAATCGGCACATAGATTTATTAAACAGGGAGACATATCTATAGATGCTGAATTCATAAGTAATGCTAACTAAAACAAACACTAATATAGCTAATAATATCTTACTTATTTTTATATATTATTATTTTCACATAGCTGCGTTATGGTTTATGTGTATTTTAGTCAATCTATGTGGGAATTTACGTAAAGCATTTGAAGGCAGCATTTCACCCGGCGACTGTGGTGTCTCTCTTCGCCATTGATAGCGCTGTTTCACCCACTGAACGTCTACATTTCTACGGGAATAAACCATAGGGGAGAGACGCCGGGTGGAGGTGGAGTCTGTAGGTGGGGAGGGAGAAGAAAGGGGAGAGGAGGAAAACGGGGAAAGGCAGATACAAGAGGAACGGGGGGAGGACGGTGGATGATATACGCTTCAAAAGTTGCATTACAACAAACTGAAGAGTTGTGGCGAAGAGTAATAAAGCAAGATGATAACGCCGTACTTCCTAGAGAATTTCTGGGTAGGTGGTGCTTTTTTATTCACGGTGTTTACACCGGTGCTATTATCATGCTATGTTCCCTCCTTATCATGTTCATGCCAATCAGGAATCAAGTGTTATTCGTTTTGCAGAGGAAGTCGTCTAGCTCACAAGCTTAGTTCCCTCTGAAGTCGCAGTGTCCTGGTCAGCAACCCCGCGGCCACCGCTAATTTCCTTCGGCAAATATTTTGCTACGCCGGGGTTTGGGCCTCTGTGAACCAATCTAACTTGAAACGTCGAAGCGTCCACCCCTGTTTTCTGTCAATTGGCTCGGTCAGGATTGCTTGGAACGTATATGGTCAGTTCCCTGAATGCTATTGGACGCCTCGGCTGTCAGTCATAGCCGTTGGTCGTACGCGTCATTTTCTTCCGTGACAAAGTTTCAGTGAGATACCAGATGTTAGTAAGTTAGAATAGATTTAAAAGCCTCAATACCAACCTAAATAGCGATACTTTATTTCGTACAGCTGGTGCCGCAGAGCACTGGCTGTGTTAAGCTGAGCTCAGCGCTTTCTGCGTACTGCCTAAAGGTCATTTCTCTCCCGATAATAATTTGACGTGGCTGTGTCAAAGCAGGTGGGAAAGTAGAAGTCTACCGTTACTACTTGTTGCACTACACTGAAGTCACAAAGATAGTGTCATTAGAAGTGAAACTCGAACGGTATTGGCCTTATTAGGGCTACTCCTCCATGTCAAGACGGTGTGTGTATTGCACTATAACACTACGGCAAGTATTGGTTATGCGTCATAGCTAAAATGTTACAATTCTTACAGCGACATAGTTTTGAATAAAACCCATGGGTAAATTAGTACCTAACTGTTGTAACTTCCCCCTTTCTTTTTCTGTTCTTTTTTTTAATCTGTTACTCATTTATATATAATACAACAGGACTCTCAGCTTGAAACAACCAATCAGAATCCGTTCTTGTCTTCTTTAAGGTGGACAAACACATCCTTAAGTTTTAGCCTTAGTTGAACTCTGGAGGTGATCCAGGGCTTGTAAAGGGGCTGTAATGAATATTTGTGGAAAACTACATTAAGCTAAGTGCTTGAAGTAATTACCAATAACACTGCTGTTACCCACTAACGCCTTTTTTGTTCCTAAATGAGAGTTCATCAATATCTAAATGGCAAAAGAGGAGCAATCAGAGACACTCCTGACTCTTCAATCTGCCCTTTGTGCCCTTCTGTGAGCCACAAGAGAATCCAGTGATGGTCTCGATCAGCTGTGTGTTTAACATGCAGGACACACATGAGCGCACATACTTGGCACTGGGAGGAGATGCATCCATTTCCCTTTTGACTTGACTACAAATCATCATCATCTCTATCAGACCTATTGAGTTTTTCAGTTTGTTTGTTATATTGCTAAGCAGAGAGGTTTTCCCCATTCACATCCCATGCTCTTTCACTTTTTTTCGATGTTTTCATTGGGGTTTGTTTTTTCCCTTTTTTGTCATCTATACAAAATGGATCTCCTCAGCTGAATATACAAGTTCTTTAGGAATTCAGGCAGTGCTGTTTATCTGTCATAGTTGCAGCACTGGACTGGTCACCAGCTGCAACATTTCTACTCCTTGGATTTATTTGCAGGCTTTGTTTCATTTCCTTTTTCTTTCTCTGTACGAAATCTAAGCAAAAGTTTGGTTTCTCAATGGAAGTTCTGGCGCAAAAGTGCAAGATGTGGCCTATGTGCCATGTAACATGGAGTCTCAACAGATTAGGACTGACTAGGCAGTATAGAGACAGCCAGTATGTTGTCTTATATATTGTCCCACACTTCACACACAGTGTCCCACTGACACGGCAAAGAGTGACGCTAATAAAGAGGTGGACAGGAGTGACACACATCCTTTTGGCTGCCTAATTTTCTTCAGCTGTCTCTCAAATCAAACCAGTATGGCTCTGCCTTCAGAGGAAGGGCTTGTTGAGGTTTTGTAACTGGATTGAGTGGTTATTCAACCCAACAGCCTTGAGAATCAGTAGCAATTTTCTAAGATTACCAGAGTAAAAACATTACACTAATTATGGTTTTTGTGTGAAACAAACATCCTGCCTCTTGCTGGTTGTTGTTCATTCATCCCTTTATATTTAAATGAGTCGGTTTTAGTTGTGTTAGACCAACCCGTTTTGGCGTTATCATCCCTAACAAGTTAAGTAATGGTCAAGTTTTCGTTTGTATCTACCACAAACAAAGCCCAGCCTCTGTGTGCATACCGCATACTAAAGCTGTGTGTGTTGTCTGTGATGAGCTGTGATAGCTCAGTGCACCGCTCCCAGACCTCTCTGGTCACATGACTGAGGCCAGACACTCTGATGTCAAGGCGCCGTCTGTGCAGCTCATGGCTGTGTGCTCTACAGGCTGTACCGGGCCACCGTTTACAGTCTGCGTTGGAGAGACACTGTTGTTTGGCTCTGTCTAAATTCCTCAGGGACAGCGTGCAGTTCTTTCCACTGCTCTCACCTGAGCACACACCGGAACAGGAGAAGAAGTCGTGTCAGCTGAGACACTTCTAATCCTGTGTATTGTTTCCCCCTTCCTAAAGCACAACATCAGTGCTGTAATAACAAGCATGGGAAACTTATGAAGTTTTTTCATAGGTTTCCCCTAGAGCTTAGGTAAACTGCTACACTGTACCACTTTCCTGCCTGCATACCAAAGATATAAACACTCAGCACCTATGTGCTATAATTCTTTTGCCGATACTCCCAACTTCACACATTTAGCACATTAGAAATTTTTAAATTGTAATTTTTTACTCAAGCACATTTATTATATGTCCTACATATATGTTGTTTAACTAAAAAAGCATTGCACAGAAACATCAGTGTTTACTGAGGCAGACAAACTTACGAACAAAAATAGTCTGAAGTAATGTAAGCATTCATTTACTCCCAGGCTTAGTTTTTTTTAGCGTTCTTTTGCAGTTTGGAAGGTATAGTATAACAATATGCAGCATGATAAACAACAATAGGCAACAACCACTTGATTCCCTACATAAAGGATATTGAACCTTGGATTGTAGTCTGACTGGAGGAGAATGAATTCCTGTCCCTCTCTGTGCAGCAGATGTTACATGATAAACCATAGCACTGTGGTTTGGTTTATCTTTCCTTTTTAAGGTGGTAGTTAAGATTAAAGATGTCAGTTTCTTTTTGTGTTCAGTGCTCAGTATTGAATTGCTGTAAATATAAAGCATGGTTTTCAAAGATATGTTCTTACTGACTTAACAAATAGATTGTTTTTCTGGTGAGAAAGCCATGTACTCTGTCTAGTACATAAACTGTTATAATATGCAAAGAGTTTCTTTCACTCTATATAATGACAGGTTTTTTTTTTTTTTTTGCCCTTTTTTTTTTCTTTTCTTATTTTCCTTCCTTTTAATTTGCAAAGTTTTTTTGCCCCTTTTTTTTTTTTTTTGTTTTGTTTGATTGTTGGAATTTTTTGCGGGGTTTTTTTTTTAAATATCTGCAAACATAAATGCGATTATAGTTTATAAAGAGCTTGTAAGTCAGTTTTGGTATGAACACCTTTATTTTTAAACACAGTGTGCACTCATGCTTTCTGGTACTTTCTTTAAGTGATCTTCAGGAATCGTTGTCTGGATTTCTTGAAGGACATTTCAAAGCTCTTCTTTGAATGTTGGGTGCCTTTTATTTTATTCTCTGTTAAGATCCTACACTGCTTCAACAATGTTAAGGTCCGGGCTTTGGGGAGGCCAGTACATGACTGATTGTGTTCCATTGTGTATTTTTCTATCCAGGTATACTTTTACTCCATTGATATTGTGTTTGGGATCATTCCCATGTTGAAAAATGAAGCTGTTGCCAATCAGACACTTTCCAGGTAGTATTGCTTGGTGGGACAAAAGCTGATGGTACTTTTCTGTATTCACAATACCACTCCAACACTGAAAACTGGACAAACTCTTAAGAACATGACTTTGACATATCGTTCATCTGCCTGCCACTTCTTCTGCTGTTTTTAGCTAAAGCCTCTTTGGGAATTAGCTTATTGATACAAAATGCTATTTTCTGTCTGTCAAACTGTGTGAGCTTTGGCATTTTTCATAGATTCAAGTAAAGAAATAGAATATCTGTTTTTGGGACAGGCTGCTAGAGCCAAAGTGCCTAAAGATTAAATTAAAATTGGTTATTTGCTAAGTTGTCTGTTACATGTGTATATATACAACATTAGTTCATCCCTTTGAGTTAGGTTCCTTTTTATCATTGAACAATTCATAGGTCAGTGTAAAGTGACTTACCAAGCAAACAGAAAATTTCTCTGAAAGGTGTCAGTTACAAAACCTGAAGTGAAAATGAATGAAAACGGCCACTGTCTAAAGAAAAACGTTCGAACTGTTGCTCAACAGTTTGAATCACTGAAGACCAAAAAATGACAAAGTCTGGTTGACTGGAATCAGAATATAAAGATATAAGTGGTGGCTAAAACAAAAACTGAATTTTATAAGCAATTAATGATAAATATGAAAATCAATTTGGCTGTTTGCTCTATGAGAAGTCAAAAATATTTAAAGCAGCCCACTTCTGAGTGAGATTAAATTTTATATGATTTCACAGACAGTAACCCCAAATAAAGATAAACTGGTGTTTAGAAATAAAAGCTTCAAATGTTGTGCAGGAAAGGTGTCACAGAACCATTAGTCACCAATGTTTGTATAATTATTCTCTCCTTGGGCAGTTGTTCCATCAGCCATCTGGCTCATTTCCACTGACTTTAGATTTAATTCCGGCTTTAATAGTTCTCTTTTCTTTCCCCTCATGGGTGAAACTAGTATTACCTATTTTTTTGGTCTAAAGCATACAACTTTTTCTTTAGTTCCCTGTAGTCTGTGCAGTGTAGTGTATCACAATTTTCTCATTCTAGCACCTGTTTCTGTAATTATGGTACAACCAGCTGACACAGCTTGTTCTCTTCCCTTTTTTAATGAATTCAGTCAGTTCATAGGAAGCTGTCTCAG